GTAAAGCAGGTGGCATTTATATATGGATTTGAATATCTGTGCTCCAATTGTTGTGCAGCATTATCTACACCATTATCTACACTTCTTGAATGCCACTTGAGGGTGTGCAACACCATCCAAGCTTATAAGTTTATAGCAGGGGTGTCAAACTGCTACATGAGGCCCGAGGTAATTTTTTGTGGCCTGTGATGCTCTTAAATAAAATGAAAATAGAAAAATTTGTTATGAAGAAAATAGCTCTTAGGGGAGATCGCGGCAATACCGTACACCCAATTCCCTCGTTAATCATTTAACTACTGAAGACTAGGATACACATGACCCAGTGTCTTTCCTGGGGGCCTGTGGACGTGTCTAAACACACTGGCTCAGTTCGGGTGATGTTTGGAGGTGACATGTCTGCCACTCTCAATGTCACCTAATGTAATATGGATCCCAATAGCAAAAAGGTTAAAAAGAGCACCCTGGGTCGTGCTGTTATGAATCATACCTAATGGCAGTGCTAGTAAACATTTTTAGAGGGAAGCCATTGTGTGAGCAACTACTTTTGTCCATGAAAATAAATAAAACGGCATACAGATTGAGATGAACTGATAAACATCTATCTGCCTTAATGAAGATGGTCTGTTCTCAGTCTGTGAATCCAGACATTGGAAAACTAGTAGGAGGAAAGCACTAGCAAGTTTCAGGTAAAAAAGAATCATTTTAGTTTTATAAAAACATTAAATAAAATAAATGTTCAAATAAAAGCAATTATATAGTGTTTTAATTACCCTATCCATATTCCTGAATCCTCACTTCAAAATATAAATTTAACAAAATTTGTAAATGTGACGTAGCCCATGTTAATCTTGCCTGTTGCACCAAATGGCCTGTGTTTTAATTGAGTAAGACACCCCTGGTTTATAGGACAGACTGAGAAGAGAATCGCATATGATACTGTACTTCCATTCAACTTCCAAAGGATGAAGCCAGCAAGGTAAGCTTAGCTTAGATTGTTGGTAACATTTCCAATATAAAAGCTGGAGTCAATAACTGGAGTAGAATTTTATTCTAGATTTAAACTTGTTGTTCATTGGTATTTACATGGATGTGTTTCTAAAATCTCTGCTCTTAAAATATTTTGCTGGTATATTCCTTGAACAGAGTCTTTATAAACATTTTATGCCCAGACTTGCTCACTATAGAAACAGAAAGCAATATATGCAACACAGAGATGCTGAAATGATCCATTGAACTAGTGGTTTAAGGCACCCCTTCTCAAGTATGCTGTGCATTCTGATGATTGAACACACAAATGATACCAGCAAACATATCCACAACTATCTTCGCAGTCTGCTTTCCTGGATCCATTTCTTCTGGTTAAGTAACTAAAGAAACACGCTAGAAGTGAACTACTATCATCGTGCCCACTCTGATTCCTAGTGGCTCTACCGGGCTGGATAGAACTGCTCCTTAGGGTTTCAAGACCGGCAATCTTTAGCAGCGCAAACAGTCTCTTCCTTCTGCTGTACTGGGGAGTTTGAATCTGGGTGTTAGGAGCCCAACGCTTAACCCACAGCACCAGCAGGGCACCTTGTTAGGAGTGGGGCACAGGAAAGAAACAAGTGTTAATGGATGGAAACAAAAAAACACACACCATGCAAACCTTTTTTCATTCATGATGCTCTCTGTTGTGTTATCCTGCTAAATATTAAAATAACATATAATCTTAACCACATAGAAAATTTCCCAGCATCAATCAGTAGGAATTAGTTAAGAAAGTAAGTAGGTTTCCTTCCACTGAAGGCGTGGTATGCTTTTATTTGTCAGTCTTTAATTAAGGAGATTTCAGGTGGATTCAGACTCGTGGCGACCTCCTGTGACAGAGTGGAACGGCCCCACCCGGTTTTCGAGCCTGTGATCGTTGAACGGACCCCTGGAGGCACAGTGGTGCATTGGGCTGCAATCCCCAAGGTCAGCAGTTTAAAACCACCAGCTGCTCAGGGAAGAAAGATGGGACTTTCTACTCTCATAAAGGGTTCCAGTCCTGTCTGCTGACCCTTATGTATGTTTTCCCGTCGAGTCTGATGACGTGCCAAGCCCTGCCCTCCAAGTCTGAAGTCTAGTCTCAGGATCCCTTGAGGACAGCGTTGCTTTGCTCTACTTGCTGCTCTGTTGGGCTCCAGACAGACCTGCAACTATCTATAGCCCCCCTCTTTTTTTTCATGTCTATCTATAGAAGAGGCAAAATAAACAATACCGAGGGGAAAAAATGGGACTGACAGTTCCAGGAGGAAAGGGGAGTGGGGGAGGTGGGGGAAAGGGAGAGGGGAGCCAACAAATCCAGGGGCAAGGGAACAAGAAGAGATCTAAAATCAATGGCAGGAGGGTGTAGAATGCCTGGTGGGGTTTTATCAAGTGCAATGTAGCTGAGAGTAATTACTGAGAGCCAAATGAAGGTTGAAAATGATAGTGAGATAGGAGGAAAGTAAAAGGAAATAGAGGAAAGAATCAGAAGGCAAAAGGTATTTATAGAAGTATAAATATAGGCATGTATAAATGTAAATATATTATATATAACAATAAGGATATGGGTCTATGTACATATATTGATATGTTAACTATCAAGGTAGCAGACAGAAATTGGGCCTCTACTCAAGTCCTCCCTCAATGCAAGAACACTTTGTGATAGATAATAAGCTGGCATTCTGTGATGCTCACCTTCCCGACAGGATCACTGAAGACAAAATGAGTGCATGAGCAAATGTGGTGAAGAAAACTGATGATGCCTGGCTATTACAAGATATAGCATCTGGGGTCTTAAAGGCTTAAAGTTAAACAAGCAGCCATCTAGCAGAGTAGCAACAAACCCCACATAAAAGCACACCAGCCTTTGTGATCACGAGGTGTTAACAGGAGCAGATATCAGGCATCAGAAGACCCAAAACAAACAATCATATTGATGTAAACGAGCGGGTCAGCGTGGAGACCCAAAGCCCATCTGTAGACAATTGGCTATGCCCTCACAGAGGGTCACAAGGAAGGGACAAGCCAGACAGGGTGCAGTATAGCACCAACGAAACATACAACATCCCTCTAGTTCTTTAATGTTTCCTCCCCTGCCCCCACCCCCCACCCCCACATCTATCATGACCCCAGCTGTACCTTACAAGTCTGGCTAGACCGGAGCATGTACACTGGTACACGAGGGTAGGGGGAAGGTAGGGGGAGAAGGAGATAGGGGAACTGATTCCAATGATTGACCTATAATACCCCTACCCAGGGGGATGAACAACAGAAACATGGGTGAAGGGAGACAGCAGACAGTGTGAGATATGAAAATAATAATAATTTATAATTTATCAAGGGTTCACAAGGCTGGAAGGGTGGGAAAGGGAAAGAAAAAAGAGGAGCTGATACCAAGGACTCAAGTAGAAAGAAAATGTTTTGAAAATGATGATGGCAACATATGTACAAATGTGCTTGATACAATTGATATGTGGATTGTTATAAGAGTGGTGAGAGCCTCCAATAAAAATTATCTATTAAAAGTAAATAAATAAAAAGAGTTCCAGTCTCAGAAACTCACCAGGGCAATTCTACCTTATCCTACAGGATTACTCTGAGTTGGCATCAACTCGATGGAGGTAAGTTTGCGGGTTTTTTTCGAGTTTGAATCTTTACAGAAGGAGTTTATGGCTCGCAGCAGAGCTCTTAACTGCTACACCTAAAGGCCCCTTTTGGAAACAGGGACACCAGATAGTCTTGGTTTCTTTTACCGACTCTGAACTGCAGGAAGATTTACTGTCCGTAAAGATTTACTGTCTGCCTTGTGGAAGCAAGCTTCCCTAAGGGGGTTTGAAAACCCAGGTGATTTCATGAACTATGTGAACTAAAGTCTTAGACGGTTGGCTATTCCGCAGTGTACACTTTGCCCCTCCCTATTTCCCTTGCGCAAGCTTAAGGAATGTCGGCTACAGCTTTGTGATCCTGTGAACCTAGCTTGCACGGCAACTTTAAAACAAAATTCATATCTGTTGTCTCGCTGGTTCATAGAGAAGTCAAATTATTCATAGAAACATATGATTTAAATGTGATTGCAATAGATTTCTACATCATATGAGGAAATTACGCTTCTCTAGTTTAGGCAAAAAAAAGGTACTAGAGACCATGAAAGGCGTAGATAAGTCACCTGCAAGAAACTCTGCAAGTGAAGTTACTCACAAAAAGAAACAGTCACACATGCACATAGTTTAGAGGAAAAATTAAAATGGGTGCAGTCTTCAAAGCTTTGAAATCGTGTATTAAATATAAAATTTGGAGTATGAAAATTACCATTGTTAGAGTTTTGTAGCATGAACTGCTGGATTTTGAAAAGCATCCAGGAAGGTTCATAGAATAATGCACTAGTAAACTTCCAGAGCATATATGTCTGGAAACGAATGAAGGCAAAACTAATACAACTATGAGAGTACGATGGGTTAAAATACATTGCTCTAACTTAATTTGAAATCCATCAATACTTGTACCGATGGATGGATAGGCGGATATGTAAGTGGATCCCAAACCAAACCAAACCTGCAGCTGTTAGTTGATTTCACCTCCTGGTGACCCAATGGGTTGCAGAGGATCGAACTGCTCCAGAGGGTTTTCTTGGCGGTGAGCTTTATAGATGCAGAACACCAGGGCTTTCCGACATGGAGCCTCTGGGTGAGTTCAAACAACCAACCTTTAAGTCAGTAGTCAAGCACAACCCATTTACATCTGGAGACTTTTCATGTATAGATAGACAGGTCGTAAAAACAATACAGTCAATGATAACTACAAAGTCTAGGCAGTGGGTGTATATTGGGGCTCACTCTACAGTTCTTTTGTTTCCCCTCTCTGTTTGAAATTTTTCATAGTAAAGTGTTGTAAAAAAAAACACAGTGATCTAGATGAAAGGCATCTATTCTCTGTGCTGATAACTGTACTTAACAAATCCGTGTTTCAGAATTTATTCTGTGACATGATTGACTCACCTAACCATCCAGATCCTGAATTCGGGATACACAGGTCTGTCTCAGCACTGGGCAGCACAAAGCCCACGACAAACACCTCAACGCCATCAGCCATAAGAGCCATGCCCAGGACGAAGAACAGGGCCCACTGAAAACGGCCATGGCCACATTCTTGGATGATCAGCTCATACTGCTGGGCCAGCTCTTCCTCATCGGCTCTCCTCTCTGACTCCAGGTCCCGGCGGTCCTTGAACTCATCACCCTTGGGCTGCCTCACTGACACAATGCTATCTTTCCCTTGGTTCGTGCTGGGGATGCCCTGATACTCCCCTTCGTAGATTTCATCATCTTCATCATGACCCTCAGTAGCTTCGCTTGAACCTTCATCCTCATTGGCGTTCCCATCGTAGGTTTCTCCAGGTGGGTAGTAGTCATCATCTTCTTCTTCATCTTGGAACCGACTGTAGGACCGCTGGGTGTATTCATCCTGGGCCCGGTCCACCGCTTGGTTCACTTTTTTGGCTGTCTTTCTTTTTACCTCTTTGGCAATGTCTTTGGCGCCTTTCACCAGTGAAGTCCTATCCTTGTAAGAGTCTTCCATCTTGTCTCTGCTGACCGCCAATGAGAAGAAGAAGGTTTCTCAGTCTCTGGTCAGTGGTTCAGTCCAGCAAGCAGCACCCACTTTCACTTTGTTCAAGCTAGAACTGCAAAAGAAAAAGAACAATAGGAGAGATTCATTATTCTGTCCCAGGTCTTTTTCAGGAGTCTTGGTAGTGCTGTGGGATAAGCATTGGACTGCTAACTGGTTCCAACCCACCGACATCTCCAAGTGAGAAAGTTGAGACTAAGCACTCCCTAAAGTCTGTATATAGTTGATACGAGTCAGAAATGACTTGATGGCAGTGGGGTTGTTTCCCCTTTTTTGGCCATCTTTGTGTGTCCGGGGGCCCGGGGAGTGTCTACTTTCACTGCTCCATAGTCTAAAGGTCACAAAATTAATGTTTCCCTTTTTTACTTCACTGTAAACATACAGAGAACATACATACTATGCTGATTCTCTGCTCAGGTGTGATCAGCACTACAAGTTTTAGTGTTATTGTTATTTAATTTTTAAAAGAACATTAACATGGGTAACTTTATAAACAATGCCCAGACATTCCTTGATAATAACTCAAGACATGTTGACCTTCTACAAGTGCTTCCAATACACATGAAAATACAGTGAGGATATATCTCAATTGAAAAAAAGAATATTGCTCATAGACACACATGCACACAAAGTACAGGAAAAGTCAGGGTACTTGAAGAGCCCCGACTGACAGTGTTTTCTCACACTGAAAAAAAGCAAAGAAGCAAGAAAGCAGCCTTCTATGAAGCAGCCCTTGCTTTGTAGGCAACTTTATAAAGTCATGCGGCTTCTAAGATTGTAAATCTTATGAGTGCAGACAGCCTCATCGTTTTCCTGAGGAGCAACGGATGGATTTGAACTACACCAATTTATAAAATCGCATTTTCCCTAGGCTGTGATTGCATCTCCTAAGACTGATGTGGTATTCAACGTTGACGATGAATATTTTGCCCAAGGATAGCAGTTGGATCTGGAAGAAACTGACAAAGTCCATTGAATGACTCCGTAGACACCTTAATAAGGATCAAGTTGGAAATGTGCTTGACATAATGGATGCATGGATGGAATGTGCTAAGAGTTGTACGAGACCCCAACAAAATGATTTTCTTAAATATTCAAAAATAACTATCAAGTTGGAATGTATATTCTGTTAGCCCATTTTTCAGAACCACACCAAGGCCAGTGGGGAAAGGCGATTCACTCACACTCCCCTTCACTATCCCAGCTGTATTTACTTCAGGCATTATTTCCCTGTTCTCTCAGCTCTCCTTCCTACCTATCCAATCTTGTCCCACCGGCCCCCTCGTTAGCTGTGTGTGGTCTCCAGTGCCCTCATGGCCTCTCATCTGGTCTTCCGTCTTACTGACAGTCTCCTGTGTCTGAGCTCATTATGTCTGGAATGACCTCCTGGTAACTTAACTTTCTCCTGTCCACTGAATTAGTTCTCCTGTCTTAAGTCAGGAAATATTAAAACTACACCTGTACACCCCCCTTCCTCCCAACCAAGTCGCTGCCACTGAGTCAATGCCAACTCATAGCAACCCTCTAGGGCAGAGTAGAAGTGCTTTGCGAGTTTCCAAGACTGTAACTGTTCACAGGGGTAGAAAGCCCCATCTTTCTCTCTTGGTGTGGCCGGTGGTTTCGAACTGCTCACCTTTTAAAGAGAAGCCCAATGTGTAACCACTACACCAGGGCTCGTACACCCATTTACTCAGCTAAGATAAAAGTGAAAAAGGCAATCTTCTCTACCATCAATTCCCCATCTTCCAAGCTGTGTCAGCACTCAAAACATTATGACCTTTCAACTTTTCCTTTATGCATCCATTGTAAAATACTTGGTAATTAACTATTACAGACATGCATTTAAACTGCTCATTCAGACACGACAAATACATTCAATAATAAATATGTTTATTTATAAGTGAAGTGTATTTCATTATCAGGGATTATCTACCAATACCTAGTAGGCAAAGCAGAAGTATGCCTCTGTATGAGACAACAAAAAGCAATTAACTACAAGTCAGTGGTTCAAATCCACCAGCCACTCCAAGAGAGAACGAAAAAGCTATCTGTTCCAATAAAGATTTACAAGGCTTTGGGGCTAATCCACAGGGTAGTTATGGATTGGCAATGACTGGATAGCAATAGTTGCAGGCGTCCTCAAACTACAGCCCGCGGGCCAGAGAGGACAATTATCTGGCCTGCCAAGTGTTTTTGTCCCATTTTGGTGTTTTTTTTTACTTCAAAATAAGATATGTGCAGTGTGCATAGGAATTTTTTCATAGTTTTTTTCTTTTTTAAACTATAGCCCGGCCCTCCAGAAGGTCTGAGGGACAGTGAACTGGCCCCCTGTTTAAAAAGTTTGAGGACCCCTGGTTTATATGGTTATAAGACTTTCCACAAATATTTCTTAGATGATTTTTCTGTTTGCTCTTTTCTTATTCCGTTTGACTCAGCAGAGGGAGGAAGTCATGGTTGGTCCTGCATCCTCCTCCGGATCCCCTATGATACAATACAGCCCGTGGCTGCAGTCACTCTGCCAACTTGACACAGCAAGGATCGCCCTCTATTTCATGACTCTCTGTTACCAAGCTTTCTCTCTTCCTCCAGGGACTGGTCTCTCCTGATAATAGTTCCAAATTCTCTCTGTTCCTGCTTCTAAGAAGCATTTCTACGTGACTTCTTCCAGCAGATGTGTTTGTTCTTTTGGCAGTCCATGGCAATTTAATATTCTTTATCAACATAATTCAATGATGTCAATTCTTGTTCACTCTTCCTTATCCACTATCCAGTCTTCATATGCATATGATGTGATTGGCTTGGGTCTAAGGTGCACCTTAGACCTGAAAGTGATATCTTTGCTCTTTAAAAATGTCTTCTGCCGCAGATTTGCCCAATTCAATGTGTCATTTCTTAACCGTTGTTCCCCTGAACATGGATTGTGGATCCAAGTAAAATGAAGTGGGTGACAACTTCAATCTTTTCTGTTTATCATGATGTTCCTGACTGGTCCAGAGGAGAACTGATCCCGAGGGTTTTCAAGACTAAATATTTATGGGAGTTGCTTCATCTTTCACCTCAGAGCAGCTGGTGGGTTTGAATCCTTGACTTTACTGTTAGTAGGGTATAATTTATACAAAGGTTGTAATCTCTGATCTTCATCAGTTAATGACGGCCTCTTGGTCTATGGAAATGTTCTCCAAGAGCACTATTAAGCATCCTGGAATTCCCATTGTTCACAATGTTATCCATAGTTTGTTATGATTCTCACAGTCAAATGCCCCTTGCATAGTAAAAAACAAAATCACATAAGTAAGCATCTTTCTGATATTATATTTTTTCAGCCAAGATCAATCTGCTATCAGCATTCCATATTCTATTCTGAATCCAGCTTGAATTTCTGGCAGTTTCCTCTCAAAGTACTACTGAATTTAAAAACTATCTTCAGCAAAATTATACTGGCTTGTGTATGAAAGATAGATAATGTATGCATTCTATTGGATCATCTTTCTTTGGAATGGGCATAAATATAGAATTCTTCCAGTTGGTTGGCCAGGTACCTGTCTTCCAAATTCCGCGTCAAAAACAAGTGAGTATTCCCAGAGCTGCATCTTCTGGTTGCAAACATCTCATTTGGTATTCCATCAATTCCTGGAGTTTTGTTTTTCACCAAAGTCTTCAATGCAGTCTGGACTTCTTTCAAAACCATTGATCCTTGTTCATATCCTGAAATATTTGAACATCTACCATTACTATTGGTCAACAATTAATCTGTATTTCTGCCATCTTCTTGTGATACTTCCTGCATAATTTAATATTTTTTCCAATAGAATTCATCAATATTGCAACTCATGGCTTGTTTTATCTCACTTATTTCAACTTCAAAGGAGTCCTGATGGTATAGTGGTTACGCTTTGGGCTGAGAATTGTAAGGTCAGCAGTTCAAAACCACCAACCACTCTAAGGGAGAAAGATGGGGTTTTCAAGTCCAGTAAAGAGCTATAAGCTTGGAAACCTACACGGGAAGTTCTAGCCTGTCCTACAGCATCACTACGAGCCAGCACTGAATCAGTGGCAGTGAGTTTGTTCCATTTGTTTTTTGGTTATTTAGGCTTGAGAAATGCTGAACATGTTCTTTCTTCCCTGATGATTTTCTAACTCCAGGTCTTTGCACGTTTCATTTTGCCTCCTTGAGCTGTCCTTTGAAATTTATCTTCAGTTCTTTTGTTTCATGATTGCTTCCAGGGTTAGGGTCAGGATCATGTTTAGAGTTAGCGTTAGGGTTAGGCTTAGTGTTCATTGTGTCACACTTGTTCTTAAGATGATCTCTAAATTTAGATGGGATATGCTCATACTTCAGGTTGTATTTTGGCTCTAATGGACTTGTTTTCATTTTTTTTTAGCTTACTCTGAACTTGCATATGAGTGACTGATGGCCCGTTCTACAGGCAAACTCTGGCCTCATATTGGCTGATCATATTGAACTTCCTCATTGTCTCTTTCCACGGAAGCAGTTGACTTTATTGCTGTGTATTCCACCTGTCACCGTCCAAGTGTACAGACACTGTTTATGTTGCTGAAAAAGGTATTCGCAATGATTAGTTGTTGGTATTGCAAAAGTATTTTATGCAATCTCCAGGGTTGTTTCAGCACCACGGCCATATTTTTCAACCACAGATCCTTCTTCGATGTCTGCAACTTTTGCATTCCAATCACCACTAATTATCAGTGCACCTTGATTATGTGTTTGATCATTTTAAGACTGAAGACACTGGTAAAATTCTTCATCTTTGGCTTTAGTACTTGGTGGATACATTTGAATAATAATTATACTAACTGTTCTTCTTTGAAGGCATATGGATACTATCCTGGAGATGGATCATGGAATTTTCTTGTGTTTTGTTTAGTTTCTTTTGAGGATGTGACACCATATCTCTTCAGTTTGTTATTCCTGCAGAGTAAACCATATGATAATCCAATTGAAAATGGAAAATACTATCTATTTCAGTTCACTAATACCTAGGATATAGATCTCTATGTGTCCCATTTCATTATTGATGACTTCT